AGTATTTATTGACATACTCAAGGAAGAGGAAATTTGAACATTTATGTTAAACTAGATGAATGATGTAAAGAGATCACAACTTAGTAGAAGAATTTGGATTCTAGACTTGACTCAATTCCTTATCAATGGGAGACTATAAATTTCAGAGGTTAGTCTTGGTTTGCAGCTTTTTAATTAGATTCCCAACTAGTTGGTGCCTATCAAAAGTACCCTAGTGAAGAAGGACTTGTTGGGAAGAAGAAAAAAGTATGTGGGAGGTGGAGAGGGTAAGAAATTCATAATAGGGATGAATATGATTAAATTTACTATATATACACATATTAAATTGGAGAAAAATATGTTTAAAAAGCATCCAACTTAGGCAATAGTGCTATAATTATTCTACTTCTTACCATATATCCTGGAAAAGTTATTTATCCTTTCACATGTTTCCTATTTTCTAGTCTGAAAACGAGAGAAGTAATTTGTAACTTGAGATTTCATGAGAATTAAATAGGATAGCTTAAGTGGTTAGAGGTAGTTGGCAATACATTGCTTTATATAATTATTAGATATGACCAGTAGAATGGATTGGAAGCACTTTAGATTTTGAAGCATCTGAGTCATGCATATGAGAAAATTTTGTCTCGTTTTGTATTGCATAAATGTTTCAACCACTCTTGTATCCTAATCATCTATGCCTTCACTTTTAATTATTTTAACTAAAACTTTATCACCCCCATATAAAAGTTTAATACACTTATTTTCATGATTTTACACAGTACCTCACTAAGACACAGTCTTAAGTTAAAATACACAAAGTGTTAAATTCACACAGGGTTATTAGTTCAAACTAGTTCAAAATATTGAAATGTCATCACTTTAATTAAATCTTATTTGAGTGTGACTTCTAAGAATGTAAGAGTTATAGCAGACCATATTTCTGATGTTAAATATGGGTTGGCAACATTCTTCTATAAATGGCTTCATTATTTAATGTAAGTACTCCAGGAATATTGGTTCATTATCAGGCAAAAAACAAAGCAACAGATGTGCAGGCTGAAGAAGCCTAGAGAGCTGCTTACTGTACATGATACAGACCTACGGGTAATAAAATTATAAAGTATTTTGAGATCCATACTAGATGACAGTTTAACCACTCTTGCCACAAAAAAAAAGAGTGGGTTGGGAGGAAGTGAGGATCTGGGAGGACTTAGTGAGGGACATAATCCAAATACACTGTCTGAAAACTAATACAAATTTAAAATAGCATAATGGTAATTATATTAGCACAGCGAATCAGCTAATTTGCTTAATGATAGCAACCTTTAACAGTCTACATGTATCCCTTAACACTACACTGGATAGCTTAGTAATACATAACAATTAAGATTTCTTAGTGTTAACAGGGTAAATGTGAAGGACAGAATACATTGTGGAATATTTTAGCCCACCATATAGGTGAGGCCAGTGAAGGAATATGTTCCTGATATTTCTCAAAAAAAAATTACACATAGCTAACCCAGAGAGTCAGCAGGTTTCCAAAATAAGAACAGTTTTTCCTTGTTCTACCTCTCCCCCCTCATATTCCAATTCACTGGAGGTAAAAAAAATCTAGAACACTTTTATAAACCATGTTTTTTTCTAATGACTTACCTCCATATATTAAAATGAAATTCTTATATAATGATTTTCCTATTTATTAATTATTTATGAATTTGGTGTGACTAATTAGCTGTCTTATAATACCTCCATCCTACTTCCTCACCTTCCCTAAATAGCACGTGTGATGATCATCTTTTCCTCTCTTCTCCATCTTCCGTTTTGGCATTTATACTCAGCTACCATCCAAAATGCCCTTTAGCACTGTTCTCATAGGTTCCTGTTACCACATCTATTTTGCCACTCCAGGATTTGAGGTCCCCACACTTTTCTGTTGCTTGGCTCATTCCCTTGTTGTGGGTGCCCCAAAAATGTGAAGCTTGGAGATCTGTAGCATCAGAGTATGTTGCTACTTTTATACTTAAGAGATAGCATAGTCTGTTATAAAATTCTAACTGAGAATTAGCTTTTTATTTTCAAATTTTGGAGTTCTTGCTCCTCATCTGGCTTCCTCAGGTGCACAAAACCAATTCTGGTTTACTTTTTGAAAGCTTTTAAAATCCCCTTCCATTCAGCTTCGTGGTGAACTATTTAACTATTAACTATTTAACTGTTGCCACGCATGTCTTGCACTCCATTTCATTTTCCATCATTTCCCTCTTTGCTTACTTTATTTTCTTTTAATTGGGACTGACTAGTAGGCAGAGGTTAGCATTCCTCTAATTAATTGCTCTTTAATTTATAACTTTTGAAATTCCATACATGAGTACTGTCTTTACATCATTCCCATCCCCCCTTTTCCCTCATCTCACTTCCCCATGAACCCACTCCCTCTTAAATTCATGACCTCTTCTTTTAAAATTATTATTACACATATACATACATGTATGTATACAACCTACTGAGTTCATTTAGCTTTGCCTTTATGTACTACGTTTAGGGCTGACCACTGGGGTTTTGATAACCAGGGCTCATTCCTGGAGAAAAGGAGTTCTCCTTCTTTCGGCAGCCATTGGTTGCTCTTCATCTAGAGAAGGGGCCGTGTGATGCTTCTCCCATCAAAGCTGGTATAATCTTCTCTCATTTTATCAGTCTTATTGTCTTTTGGCTGAACTTTTAGGGATGTTTATTCAACAATAGTCTAATCCTTCAATGGAAGTGTTTTTACTGCTAACATATTGTGAACTTCTCAGAGTTCTTTTCTGTTATGATTGCCCTTCTCAATAATATCCTACTTCATCCTCTTCATGTGCTCACTTTCCCCTTTGACAATATCGATTTGCACATTTGGAGAGTGTTGGACATTTAGTTTTCTTATGCTCAATGTTAGTGAGCTTGCTGTCACTGTAGCAATATCAAAAATGACTCTGTTTCAAAAGGTTTCATCCACAGTTGGTGGTCTGACGCTTTGGGGCCAGTTGTGGAGCGGCACCTTGTGTGTTAGAATCATGTAATGGATGAAGACCTCATGTCAGATTCAAAGAAGGGAAAGAGGTTGGCTCCCACAATTCCATTTGAGGACATCCCCCCCACACACACACAAACAACCAAATCCTCTGAGAGGTTCTGCCACCTTCCAATAGCACCAGCTGAGGACAAAGCCTTTTAAAACAGGCCTCTGGGGGACATGTTCCTAACACCACCTGTTTTCCTCCAAGTTTTCAGTTTCCTTGTTGGTTTTCTTTGTTAAGATAACTGCTCTTGAGATCAAATGTCAAATGTCTTTTACAGACAATTGCTTTTTCAGTTTCAATGTTAAAACCTCAAAGGGAAATGGGAGCCTGGAAAGGATTGTTGGTGGCTATTGGGTGGACACTGGGATAGAGTATTCTCCCAAATATCAGTATCTGTAGCTCTTATTTTTTCTTGAGTCTGAATGTCATACATACTCTTTTAACTTGCTGTTCGACTCACAGAATTGCTACCAGTGTGGTAGGAGTTGCTTTGAAAGAAAAGGCTAAGTTGTATAAATGCTTGTGTGTCATGAAGTCCTCACAATTAATTCAGCATGAGTATTTGCATGTTACCCTGTGATTTTTATGACCTACTTTCTACTTGTAATAGAAGTGTTACATTTATCATAGTGACTAGCATATAGTAAGTCTTAGTTTTTGACCCATTTTCTGGCAGTTATAAGAAATTTATGCCACAACTGTCACATGACTCCATCTAGTTCCCACATTTAGTGATGTTTGTACAAGTTTAGGCTAATAATGTTCTCAAAATGTATTTTCCAAACCAGTAGCAGAAACAGGAGCATATATGTACAAACATTCTCAGGCCCAGTTTTATACCTACTATGTCAAAACGTTACGGAGAGAGCCAGTCATGTGTGTTTCACAAACCCTCCAGGGATTCTACTGCATGCTCAACTGGGAGAAGCACTGGATTCAGAGGAAAAACATATAACAGATCAACACAAATATTAAACTCAAGACCTGAACTTACTTGGTGTGATACTGAAGGTCATAAGTAGAACTCATGAATACATGCAGGACCTCATTGATTATGGATAATGAAAAGTCACAATTATGAATCATTAGAGCAGAGTAGTTGATAGTACTAAAAGCTTTATTATTAATCACTATATATAGGAGCTAGAAGCTGAAGAGTGAAATGTAGATTTAGTCTGTAAAATCTGCAATGAACTGCACTATGGTTTTCTGACACAAAGCAGAAAGTGTATTAATACAAAAACAATTCACTTCAATCTCTAGAATCTTAATAAACACCTTGAAAGAATCATTAATTGTATTTATTCATCCTTTTCCAAAACAGGCTACCTAATATATATCGTCTGGATCATTTGCTAAGGAAAAGTTATTTAAAGTTGTAACTTCAACAAATCACAACTATCGAAATTCCTCTGAAATTTTGAGTTAATGCCATGTAAACAAATGAGCTTCAGAAGGAAAAAAAGCTGGGGGTGGACAGAACAAGAAATCAACATTCCAACATCGTTTTCTTAGCATTTGACAGTAGCTTCAAGTCAGTGAGATGATTTCCTCTAGGGACTCAGCACATCAAGTCCCTAGATTCAGTTTGTAAGGAACCTAAGGTTTTCTTTCCAACAGAAAGGAAGATTCTTTTCCCCAGAGGAAAGGGGAACTCATGTAGGTTCATATTTCAGGGGTGATGCCCAGGCACTCAATTTACTTTGACACCTAATCTGTCTGAGCAGCTCAGTTTAATCTCCTGTGTGGCAGAGCGCAGGCTGTTTCCTGCTAGCCCTTTGCAGCCTCTGTGTGAAAATCTCAGAGCTCTACTGTTGCCAGTCAGGACACAGCAGCTTACCAAAACCACCTCAGGGAATAGTAGACAGACTGCCAGAAGTCCAAAAACACATCCTTGTACTATTTGGACAACAGAGTTTCATTTCACATTAGGGATAATATTCAAAATAAAAATAAAAGAATGACTGACACACACAAGCCCCCTCTATACCTAGAGGATCCTCTGCTAAACACATCATGAGCATAGCCTCCCTGGCTTATCTCAGCACCCTAAGAGGTCAGTGATGTTTGGATTACACTTTGCAAATCAGAAAATTAAGCCTCAAAAATGCTAAGTAGCTTACCTAAAGTCAACAAACGTCTGTGCTGGAGCCAGGATTCAATCTCAAAGCTGGTGGTGAATCTGAAGGTTCTGTTTTGAACTACTACATTAAAACACCTTTGCTGAGACCCCAACCTATTTCAACGGATACAATTTGTAACATATGTGTAATTCATTTTGCCTCACAGGCAAATTAGAAAAGGGTTTTAAAAGCAAAAAAAAGAGAGAGAAAATATGTATCAGGAATGATGATACAGGCTTGTAATCACAGCGCTTGGGAAGCTAAAGCAGGAGAATTGTGACTTTGAGGACAGCCTGACCCAACACAGTTCAATGCCAGCAAGAGCTATGCTTTAATTCTATCTCAAAATAACAAAAGCATTTTTTTTAAAAAAAAGAAAAGTAAATTTGTATGTTGGTGATATTTCGTTTCTGATTGTGTTTTGGGTCTCTTTGAGCTTAGATACCTGGAAAATCTGCTAAGAAAGTGGTTCCTTCTTGAAGTCATTGTATGAGTGGAGATCCAGTTGGTCCCCACAGTGCTTGCTTTGAGACCAGAGATGCTTTTGTTGCCATGGACACCAGATTTCAACACACCACTGAGCACTGGAATCTATCCCATGCAAAGATACCAACCAGCAGATGGACACAGTAACATCTAACGGCACATTAATGCTATGGCCAATATTTCCTTTGTCACCTCTCATTTAGATGATGTGCTCACCAGTGAAGTCTGTTAAGGCTGGAGACAGTTTCTTTATGACTCAGATAACAATACCCACACTTCAACATGTAAAAGTCACTCATTGCTAGAGTTGTAGAATAGCTAAAGCTATTCATAAAGAAGTCTGATCTTATACAAAACAAATGGATTCAATGCTGTGATTTCATAAAAGGGAAATTTGCCCAAGTGTCTAGCACCCTACATATAAGTGGTATGGTAGTAGTAGTAGTAGTAGTACACACACACACACACACACACACACACACGCTTGGTTGTTTATTTTTCTGGAACAAACCATATAGCCAAAGGGTTAGGTACATAATTTAAAAATGTAAGTCATAGATCAGTTTCTGAAATTGAATCATGTTTAAAAGCAACTGGACATATCACATATTAGAGACTGTCAGTTCAGTTTAATCAAGGGATTGTTTACGCTCTATGAAAGATATAAAAAAAAGTCCCTTCTACTTGGATGAAATCTGTGTATTGTGTATCAGTCACATGATCAACACCAGTCATTACATTAACCAATGTAAGTGAAATTAGTCAACAAGTTAATAAGAAAGTCATATTTTATATAATAGAATATAAGAAATAATTTTCATATTTAGAGATTAATAAATTCAATTCCATTAAAGCCATATTCTTATAGAATAATGGTAGTTTGTTATTGGAAAAACTCAACACATTTAAAATTTCATATACTGACAAAGATTTTACTGTGTTTACTTTCCTAATTTATTCAGTAACAAAACAAAATTAACCAAGATAGTTCAAGTAATTGTAATGTAAAGAATACATTTTAGCTTTAGTAGAATAAATATAAACACATGAAAAGCTATAAATTATATCTAAACCTAAATGGGTTATTTTGTTTAATATTTTGACTTTATCATGTCTGTTAGATAAGCACATCAGAAAATTTTTAAAAATTAAAAGGAAAATGTTTAACTACCTTCAATTTCAGGTTGTATTGAGGGAGAAGCAATACTCTCTGTCATACAGGTAAAATTAACTGTACTATTCTAAAATGGGAAATGGTACTGAGCAGACATTTTCTACTTTATCTGGGATGTTCTAATAGAGCCTCTTCTTGTGTTATCATTAAATAATTCAAAATTTCTAGAATGTGGTTAATTAGGCCCTTTAATAACAAAACCACTGGGCAGTGGTGGCACACGCCTTTAATTCTAGCACTTAGGAGGCTGTGGCAGGCTAATCTCTATGAGTTTGAGGCCAGCCTGGTCTGCAAAGTAAGTTCCAGAACAGCCAGGACTGTTACACAGAGAAACCCAGTCTCAAAAAAGCAAACAAGAAAAAAAGAACCAAACCTCCTGGGGCTGAGAAGATGGCCTAGGGAAGAATAGTACTTCCTATGCAAGCATAGGGACCCAAATTTGAATCCCCAGCATCACATAAAAGTTATGCACTTATAAGCCCAGCACTGGGGGCTGTGGATAGGTGATCCTGGGAGCTAGTTCACTGGCCAGCCATTCTAGCTGCAAAAGGAAGCTTCTGATTCAATGAGAGGCCCTGCCTCACAGGAATAAGCATACGAGCAATAGCAAGATGTAATGCTGTGGTCTCTGTATACGCATGCACACACTCACTCACATACATGCACGATACACACAAACAACCTACACAGTTCCCCTCACTACCCACAATTTTTTTTAAAAAATACAGAAAAAAAGATGAAAAAAAACATACTCAATGGAAAAAGCACCCATGGAAAAAAGTTGATTCTTATTAAAGGACAATGATGAAACTCATGACACTTGGGGTAAATTAGTAAAACTTTTTGAGAGGAAATCCCATAAAACTGGGAGACTTTATATTCACAACTGTTTGACAGACCAGTGGCAGCAGCATTACAACACATAAGCTTACTCAAAAGGCAGAATTATGGGCCTCACAATAAACCCACCAATCCCAAATCTGACTTTGAACAATATTTTCAATTTGTGTGAATGCTAAAGTGTGAGAAACACAAACTAAGAATAGATATTATCAACCGCCTAGTGGAGTCTCATGTCTAATGTCTACCACTGCCCAATTGTATATTCTTCAACCTCCCTGGGCTTCAGTTTCCTCACTGGGTATTATGAATATAGTAATGGTGCCCATGTGGTAAGGTTGTTGATGATATTATATATTATATATATTCCAAGTCAAGATTCATAGAAATATAGAGTATAGTCACTGGTGGTTACCAGAGGAAAGGGAAGATGGACACAAGATAAATAAATTTAATAGGAAGAATAAGCTCTTGTAATGTAGCACAACAAATGTATATTGTTGATACTAATGTATTTGATGCTTCAAAATTGCTTAAAAGTAGACTGAAAAACACTCTCATAATGAAACATGAATATTTGTGATGATAGATGTGTTAATTAGCCCCATTTGCTCATCTGACAATGTACTGAAAAATTCAATTGTACTTGATACATATAAACAATTATTGTGACACTTAAAAACAAAAATTTGAAAATGAAGTTACACGTTACTACAGGAAAAATAGGAACATAATATATTCAAATTGTTTACATTAATGCATGTAAATAAGCGATTATGTTCTCTTAGTTTCTTTTTGCCTTTTAGCATTTAAAGGATATTCATTTGTAAGTGACAAATCATCTCAATCATAGACTCAACCCACTTTTTGGTAGTTCTATTATCAAGCAATTAGAACTCAGGTCTGGTCTACAATAACCCAATTTCCCCAACATTACTGTCATTTCAAGCCAATCTTTAAGCTTCACACAGGCAGTGTGCAATACGTGCCTGCTTTTAAAAATGTTGATTTCTCATATCCAAACATTGAGTTGATGTGGGAAAGTCTTCTGTTTTGTGTTGATTTCATTGGTTAATAAAGAAACTGCCTTGGCTCTTTAATAGGACAGAAAATTAGATAGGCGGAGTAGACAGAACAGAATGCTAAGAGAAAGAAGCCGAGCAGGCAGTCGCCATGATTCTCCCACCCAACACGGACGCAGGTTAAGATCTTTCCTGATAAGCCACAGCTCGTGGTGCTACACAGATTACTAAATATGGGTTAAAGCAAGATGTGAGAATTAGCCAATAAGAAGCTAGAACTAATGGGCCAGGCAGTGTTTAAAAGAATACAATTTGTATGTTATTATTTCTGGGGCTAAGCTAGCCGGGTGGGATCCGGGCGGGAACGTAGCCTGCCGCTCCCTACAACAGAGTGGCTGTTATTTCGTGGCATAAGCTAGCCAGGCGGCCAAGAGCTGGATGGCAGGAAGCAGCCCGCTGCTCCTCCTATAACATTGAGTGAAATCCTTTACCTATAAACTATTGGGTAAAAATCTACATGAACAGTAAGAGGACTCCTTTTCTACCATAGACATGCCCAACCTCATTTTATGCTTATCAGTTAGATGACCATCGAATTTTATAAAATTCTCTATTGAAAAGAATGTGAGAACAGGGGTAACCCCAAACTCAGGTGGTGGGAATGGAAATTGATGGTAAGGTTGTATTGTTGTTTGGTTTGTATTTTAAGAGAGAATCTTACGATGAAGATTGAGGTGGTTTGGAACTCACTATGTAACCCAGACTGGCTTCAAACTTGCAGCAATCCTCCCATGTCAGCCTCCCTTGACAAAGCACTTTTAAAAATAATCTGATCATCTCCAGCAAATAAAAAACACATGTGTAAACTTTGACTCAATCTTAAAAATTGTTTACTACATGCACACTTGAAAAGGTAGATTGATGTGTGATGTCCTTCTGTGTTTTGCTTTTATTGGCTAATGAATAAATCTATTTCAGCCAATGGCTTAGCAGAGTAAAGCCAGGTGGGAAATTTGAACAAAGATATAGAAAGTAGGTGGAGTCAAGGAGATGCCATATAACTGCTGAAGGAGACAGAGACCAGAACCTTACCAGTAGGCCACAGCCTCATGGTGATACACAGATTAATAGAAATGGGTTAGTTTAAGATGTAAGAGCTAGCTAGAAGTACACCTGAGTCATCGGTCAAACAGTGTTATAATTAATATAGTTCCTGTGGGATTATTTGGATCTGTGCAGTTGGGAAACAAATGAGTAGTCTCCATTTATAGTAGATAACAAACATATAGAAAGATGAATATAAACACTATTTGTATATATACATGTGCATTCTTTTT